TCAGGTTCCCGGCAAGCAAGTGAACACAAAGCGTTCCAAACATCCTCGTAATTCGATTTCTGATAACCAGATAGAAGATCTTTCGTTTGGTACCCTCTTCAGTTATTTGGAGTACTTCTCCGACTTCCGGGTTAGATTGTCGCAGCTCATGCACTCTTCCTAAGAAATACATTTGCTATACCTCTCGAAATTCGCAAGTCTTGAGCCACACAGTGTGCCAGGGCATACTCTGGTGAAGTGGTAAACAGACCTTGCTGTACTTCACATGTCACGCCATACCGACTCTTATGGCCATTAGCATGGTGAGCCATAAATTGGTTAAATGTCATGTCCGGTTCTGGTTGGATTTGCCGCACCGCCGCATCTTCGTTCTTTCCATGATAAGGTGCAATGCTTCTGAATCCTGTAAAGAACGTCGTTGATGGCTTCTAGAACTCCATATGGCCCGTCCCAGAATGATTGAAGTTTAGGCCACAGCCCTTTTCGCCTCTTTGGATCGTAAAGCCAAACCGTATCACCGTTGTCATACCTCTGGTCTTTGGCATTAACGTCATAAGCTTCCTTCACTTGAATTGAAACACGAACCTGGCTTTGGATGGCGTCTATTCTTCTACGCAGCTCACTTACGTAGTCTTCTCCAGCAATATCAGTTCCTGGTGGACAGCCAAGCTTTAGATCGCATGGGAGACGAAGTTCTCTTCTCATAACTATTCGAGCCGGGGGGCCTCTTCTGTGTTTTCATGAATCGACGATCGGTAAGCCAATAAGAAGAGGTGAAGAAAACTATCCCAGTCTCTTTGATGGCTAGAGACTACCTTAGCCAAATACCGGTTAATGGTCCTATTCATGCGCTCCACCATTCCATCTATATATATATCCCACGGATTTGACAGTTTTGGAACAGATTTGACTCGAAATTGCGCCCTTGTTCCGAATGCAACTCTGAAGGTACACCAAATCGACAGATCAATTTCTTTACTAAGGAATCGGCTACCGTAGAGGCTTCCTGATTTGGCAGAGCGTATGCCTCAACCCGCTTGTTGAAGTAATCCATTACCACAATGATGTATTTATTCCCTGCTTCACTTTCTGGAAAAAGTCCCGCCACATCAACAGAAATCCTTTCAAAGGGACTTCCCACGTTGTATTGGCGCATCGAAGTTTTTGGTTTCCTTTGCGGTCCATTACTTGCCGCACACACAACGCATTTTCTGCACCAGTCTTTTAGGCCCTCCTTTATATTGACCCAGTAAAATCTTTCCCTCACCTTTCCCAGTGTTTTTGTAACTCCGAGATGACCTCCTGACACACCGGAATGGATTTCTTCTAGCATATCCGCGATCCGACATCTGGGGATAACGATTTGTCTTCTTTCCTCTTTGCAGTCGTGGTTCCATTTTACGCAGTAAGAGCATAACTAGGGAATTCCATTGTGCCCAGTATGATTTTATGATATGGGAATACTTGGCAACTTCCTCCCAGGCTGGTTTCCGCTGTTCTTCCATCCAGTTCAGAATTATTCGGAGATCGGGATCGCCCTCCTGGTCTTTAATGAGGTCTTCATTTTGCCAACTATCACTAACAATAGTGGTTCTTAATACTTGGGCATCTTCCTCCTCTGCCCGCTGGCAATCCTTACTATCCTCTAAACAGCGTCTCATAACGTGCCCTACTTTTCCACATTTTCATCATTCCAACTTGCTGTTCTGGCGGCGACGTTCACCATCAAGTACCTTAAAAATGCGCTTGACGGCGCACATACTAGCTTAGGCGGATGTGCTAGTAGTAAGGCTTGCCTCATTTCACCATCACGAAGTCCATCCAGGAATGCTTGAACTGCCAATCGCTCTATTATCCTTTCCTGAACATCGGGATATGCTCATCGTGCCAACCGCGCAATATCCGCTTCGAACTCCTGCAAGGACTCGCCTCACCTCTGGAACCGATTCTTTAGTTGTGTATTGTATACCTGTTCTAAATGTGACTGGCCATATCGCATCTCCAAATGTGCTACTAGTAGTCCGTAGACCCCCTGTTCTTCGGACGTCGGTAGATATTCCAAGGCATTGTACCATCAAATTGCGGCGGTTTCATCCACAGATGACCAGCTGACCCAACAGAAGCTCCAAATTCACTTGATTTTTCCAACGGAAGTCCACGCTTTCGTTCGTCGATGGTCTTGATGTCTAAAACGGCGAAATTGCCTTGCACTTCTTGAATTCTGTCCTCCAAAGTAAAAATCCGTTTTTCCAATTCGCATAATTTTTCCATAATTTTATCTTCCAATTCTTTTTTTAGATTGGCAGTATTTTCCAAAGACTTCTCTTCTAATTTGGCTGTACATTCGTGTAACTCCAAGAGTTTTCCTTCTAGGTTGGCATTATTGTCCACGAGCCTGTTTTCCAGCTTGACTGACTTTTCTAAAAGATCGGCACAATTTTCCATCAGCTTCCCCTTTAGGTATTTTCACTAAATGTCCACACCGCACACCTGACACCAATGTAGTGTTTTTCTGGGTTCTTTTGGGTGTGGATTAAAACACTGGATTCTACAAAAAGAAATGCACTAATTTATTTATCTTGACTAGATAGAACATTTATGTACACCACTATTTATGTCTGACTAATTCTTATGTCGCGCCATTGACTCTACTCCGCTCTACTCTACCGTGCTCTGTACTCGGCTTCCATCTCCCGGCCGCCGAGTTATATACTCCGCATCGTTGAGTCGAGAAGAATCTGGAGCCACATAGCGGCCTTCCAGAATATTTGAGTTCACTCCGCGTCGATCTAGAAGGCGAGTCACTGCTACGGTCTTCACAGACGCCACCAAGCGGCTTGTGCGGACGTGACAACATAATCATCTGTGTTCCAATCAATTTTATACCTATGCAAAATTATATTCAAACTGTTAATATGATAAGTAATTTCCCAGAATAATTATATGATGTTTATCCATCTACATACATTTTTATTTTGAGGCAAATCGACCAGATACTTTCAACTGCTCTTACCCACTGAACCAGTAGAACACCTAATAGAAGATGAATACGATTATGAACAAGCAGAAGAATAAGAAATTGCTAATAGGAACATTCCTCTGTTGAACCAAGAGCAATGACGTATTTTTACCGATATAATTTTAGCTGTAAATGAAAATAAAAGAGTTCAACATCGTCTATTTTTTATTAGCGGAGTTGGAGGTGCAGGAAAAAATTTCTGTTGAATACGCTATTGGCTTACTTACTAGGAAATAATCACCGTTACATTGCTATGTGTTATACAGTTATCGCAGCCAGCTTATTGGAAAATGGCCAAACGATTCATTCTGCCTTTATGTTACCGGTTCCATTTCTAGAAATTCAACGTCAAAGATTCGCAATCAGAGTACGATTGCTGATAATATTAGATATTCAAAAATTATTGTCATTGATGAAATATCTATGGTACATAAAAGTATATTTAATAAGATAGATAGGAAGATGAGAGAAATAATGAACAATGACATTCCATTTGGCGGCAAGATTATTATAATTCTAGGCGATTTCAGGCAATGCGCACCTATCGTTTCGTTGGCCGGCAAAAATGAAACTGTTTCTGCATCAGTGAAATGTTCCCAACTATGGCAATACTGCGTTCAGTATGATCTTGTTATGAACGTTAGAGCATTGCCTCAGGGAAACGAATTCAAAGATTGGCTCATGACCATAGGAAATAATTCCGAAATCTTACGTCGCTTAGAAAATGGCAGAGATACTATAGTCAAAGTTCCTAACCATATCATTGTAGAAAATATTATTGAAAGCATTTACGGTAGTAATTTAATTGAACACGATTTCACACTATTACAAAAAGTTAGTCTCCATTAAACATTTATGTGAAGGATATCAATTGACTAATGTTTTAAAAAAACTGCCAGGTAGATCACGGCAATATCTAAGTGTTGATAGTATCATCCGAGAAGACGATACAACTGAAAATGCTGTTGATGATTTAGATTCCGCATGGCTGCAAGATTTTTTAAATTCTTTGGATGCTCCAGGACTTTCTCCCCACATTCTTACACTAAAGATTGGTGCAGTTATTCTAACGAAGAAGTTAGATGTGAAGAGAGGTTTATGTAACGGCACACGCTTATTGATTTATAATTTGTACGAACATTTTATTGAAGCAAAACGAGTAGAAGACTCTAATAATGAACCTTCGATCGAATTAATTTCCAGAGTTGACAATATCGCTCTAAATTCTCTTGATTTGCCAGTCAACTTGAAAAGGAGACAATTCCCTGTAGATGTGGCTTTTGCAATGACAATTAACAAAAGCCAAGGTCAAACTTCGAGCAGTATCGGCTTATTTTTACCAGTAACAGTATTTGATCACGGACAACTGTATGTTTCAAGGGCAAGAAGTTTTGACAACCTGAAGATTCAACTGACAAATATAGATGACCGTCAATATTTAGCTGAAACTCCAAATGATCAATCTTACACAGTTAACATAGTATATAATAAGCTATTAAAAAGTAGCATAACCCAGTAAAATTAATTAATAAAAATCATTAGTAGATTGTCGTTTATAAATCCGAAAAATAGCAAGAATTTTTTTCTTAGACAAATATTGCACAATATGGAATGTAGATACATTTCGAAGACCTTTGTACTCAAGCGCTACAAAACCAAATAACATAAAGAAATAGAGAAGGTTGATCTAACTATAAATTACAACATAAATTGCAGTGGAAGAACCATAATTTCCCAAGCAAAATCATGTTGGCATATGCTACTCTGTGTATTCATACTTACCACGATACTAATGGGTCAAACAAGGACTTTTGAGTAAGTTATAAAAAAGATTTTTTCACAAATGTTGTTCTGGACATCTTATTGTAAATTTCAATCATATCAGTCGCGACTTTTTCACGAAAAACCATATGTTTATAAAATTTAAACAGCTTTGTTGACAAAAATGTTTGTCCATTTACGTTTTTTAGATGAATCGATGAAAAAATAAACTATGCAAGCAACGATGAACCTACAAGCTACAAACTACAATATTAATCCTGAAAGAAGGATAAGTGGTTTGCAACAACAGATGGATAGTCCAAGCAACTTTTCAATACAAAATGCAGATTACACCATCAACAATCTTACCATTTTTGGGTTTATATTTCAGCCACTGTGGGCGGTCTCTCTACAAGGAAGTCGGCAATATTCCTCGCATTCCATTGGTGTCAGCAGTTTTGGCAATAAACTATAGATGAAGGATAACTTTAAAAGCAAAATTTAAGAGCAATCAGGTATGCTTTTTTCCAAAAACATAAGCGAAATGCCAGTTATACTATCAACCCACTATACAATCTTTTCGCTTCAGATTCTTTCTTCAGTATATTCAAAATTGTAGAACACGTACCCATATAAAGCAAAAAGAATAACCGCCTAAATAATTATGTACCCTTTATTATACTATTACTGTGTATGTCTATAATTACGTGATCAAACAAACTTACCTGTAAGTGATGTTCGATATTAATTATGTGAAGTCCTCGTCGAAGTAAATATTTAGAATACATATCGTGGTAACCTCGTAGTAGTACCCAACCGCCACGATTTCAAAGGGCGCACGCAGAGAAGGAAAACGGCACCGCACCCCGTCCCCCTACCTTTCTCCCCTCTGACCACCAATAAACCTTCATTTACTTCAAAGCCAAGTCGTTGCAACAATTGGGAGCGAGGGAGCTATATACTTTGACGAGGACTTCACGTATTTAAGATCGAACATTACTTACAGGTAAGTTCGTTTGATCATGTAATTATGTTCCGTCCTCGTCGAAGTAAATATTTAGAATACATATCGTAGATGTTCAAAGCTAGTTGCTACAACATACTACTAAAGCTCTGTAATAATAAAGCATAGGTTATACACAACTACACAAATTGTACGCAATGTATGTGTCAACTAAATCTAGATTTCCATTGTAACATTCCAAGTTAAGGCTTTTAGCAACAGGTGATGTGACGTACCTGGTTCAAAAATTACCATTCATTTCATGGTATGAGCAAATAACATAACATAGTTATGTTTAAAGTGTGGAGACTTGGTTCACCTCAAATAACGCTTGAGCAAAGCTATTGTTTGGCATAAGAGATTTGTGACGTATCTGAGAAAACGCACTCCAGCCCGCCGTGAGCCTGAGACTACTATAATTTAGCCAGCGCGGAGGTAGACGCATTTCATGTACTGTGGGTTGTCAATTGTGACACTCTCTGCTAAAACCGACTTCATCCATGTGGGAGCCGAGGCACCATGATAAAGTTACTGTACAGTGACAAATAAATGCTTTGCACAGATATTTGGGCGTAAAATACGGTAAAACTTAAGTTGTTGCCACATGAGTGACCCCGAGACTTCTGAAAACTCTGAAATCCCAATTTCAGTATTATTCAACCCAATCCAGATGTGGTCTGTTTCAATTAGTTTGCACACTCTGACCTGAGGTTAGAACTAGCAGTCTTGCTGATTTCCTCATCCAAATATCTACAGAGCTTGCCAGTAACCCCTTTGGTTGGTTGAGAACAGCCACAGTATCTATATTTCAGTTGAGATCGCCTCAGCCTGTAAATGCCTTTCAAAAACCATCTTATGCCTGCATCATTAGTAACATTTTGGGTAAAAGACTGATAGCTCAAACAATTATATATTGATCTCTTATCACCTGTAAGGTAAGAAATTTCAAACGTCCTACCGTAATCTAAGCCCACAATACTTGATGGATTATCGATGTTGATTGGAATGACAGCTTTCCAGTGACGATAACCAGGGTAAGCTTATGAATTAGTGGGAGCAGCGTCCTGGGGTCCCTCCATCAGAGCCTTACGTTACTTCTAGAAGTGAAATTTCAGAAACACCGAATATTTGAGCCAAAATCAGGGCGGTGACAGTTGCAACTCCCACTCCGTTTCCACGTCCCACTGACGCAAACGCTCATCTGTACCAGTATTACTATTAGATTTTATATTTGACGCGAGGGCAGTAAGATTTCTCTCTTTATACAATTATCGTAGTTTTCCCGCAACCTGGTCCAGACGTGGAAACCAGAGGCTCTCCATTCTATTGATGTAGGATGGGGTATAATATGTGACAGCCCATCAACTCGATAGCTAAGCATTCACCACAGAAGAAAACTACTAGTTGTTCTTGATGATCTGCATGCGGAACCTTCTCGGGTGACCAAAAGCTAGAGACTCCTCCCTGGCCAACGAATGTCTCAGTCCGAGCAATTATACAAAAAAAACTGGATAATTCAATACATCTGCCAGTTTCTTTAAGCCCCAGCCGTAGTAGACGTTAAGTTATATTATGTTAGTGGCATAGTAGCGTTAAAATTCCCTTGAGAATTTTACAAGGCAAGAAATTTCACTCGTTAGTGTATAGTCGGCTGTAACGAAATGAAAGACAAGCTGACACCAAGATCCCGATGTTCACCGCAAATTTTCGGACTCTGTCTTGGTTGCTTTCCATTATTGCCCTTACTAGGTTTAGTAATGTCTGCCTCGTCCGCTTAAGTAAAGTTACTTTCTTTCTGTCACAATTTAATACTGAGCCTGAAAGTACCCAATTTTTTTTAAGGTATTCCATATATGGTTTTATTAACTTTGTGAACACATAAGGGGTATAATTTACCCTAAATGATACAGCATTGTACTGGAAGAACTGTCCCTTAAATATGAATCTGAAAAATATTCTATCACCTTCCCTAACGGGTACCAAAATCCCTGCATATTCCAAATCCAGATTCGTTAAGAAAGTATCACTACGGTGAAGTCTGATCCCAGTTGAATAGCCTAGACTTAAGTGTTATATTCCTATAAACAAACAGTCTTGAGGTAAGGAATCAAACGTGTTGACCCATCAGACTTGGGGGCAAGAAAATGTTGGATAGTTGCTGATTTTTAGTTAGCTCAACTTTTTTACTGATAGCAAGGCAGCTAAGCAATTCATAGATGGGCTAATGAGATTCAGCTATGGCAAAGTGCTAAACCAGTCGCCATCTGAATGGCAAGTGACCACTAGAGTCCAACTCAGGACTTTGATGATGAATACGCGTCAATGTCCTTGCTGATCCACACACCTCATCTGCAATAATGGATTGATGTTGTCAGTACGTTGTCTGGCCTTTTGGCCTTCAAATGCTGCTCAGTTTATCTGATTTCCATTTAGAACTGACTTCTTGGTCAGACATACAGCGAAGAACAAGATATCAATGGACGCCTCTGTGAGAGTACTCCTGAGTTCTTTGCTTTAATGTGAATATTTGACAGCATGCGCTCCTCTCCCTTCTTTGAACCTAGAGGATAGAGTATTGCCACTTACAGTTAATGAACAGCTCACTTGTTGCTGTACACAGACCAAGCACCTTAGCTGGTTCACCTTAGGCGGCTAGAATAGAACAGAATTTATTCATCTATCGTCATCAACAAGACCTGCTCTCGAAATGTCAGCCTTGGTCGCCGCAACATCGTGGTGATACGTCATCTATTGAAACAGACTACATGGTCTTTAAGACAACACAATCCAGAGCGCCCTGCTGTTCGAGTGCCACCTATGCAAAATGTAACGTTAATCGGGCATAATGATATTCAACTTCCGTTATTACTGAACATTAGAACTTTGGTGGTTTTCTAACCGGAGATGTTCATACGTACAGTCCTGTTCCATGGTTATCACAAGCCATGTGGAAGTTGCTATCACAAGCAAAATGTAACGCTAGTCTACCATAGATGTACCTAATTTCTATATGTTGTTAATGAAAAATAGTACTCCAGCTGTTTCGTAACCTATCATGTGCATATTATTGATCTGTTCGATGGCTATTCCAAACCGTATGGAATTTGCTATCACAAGCAAAATAAAACGCTAGTCTACCATAGATGTTCCTAATTTCTATATGATGTTAATGAAAAATAGTACTTCAGCTGTTTCGTAACCTGTCATGTGCATATTATTGACCTGTTCGATGGCTATTTCAAACCATAAGGAATTTGCTATCACAAGCAAAATATAACGCTAGTCTCGGATAGATAAAAACTAATATATATCTGTTATTAACGAAAAATGGTACTTCCTGAGCTATTTCTGGATACTGTGACATAAAGGGTGTATTTTCAGGGTCGGAAAACGTATCATTATATTCATCATCATCAACATCATCATCATCATCACCATCATCAGCATTATCATCCATCTTAGTTTCCTCTTCTTTGTCACGCGTTTCTTCCTTTTTAATTTTACTCAAATTATCGTTTTTCTTTTTCGCTATTTGCTGAAGCGGTTCGGTTATTGGTCGAAAGAGTTTCTTAATATTCTCATCCTCGTCAGACTTGCCAATTTTCAAAGCTAAATACTTTCGTCTAACATCTCTAGACAGTTGTTGAATTTCTCTCTTCAACAGACTGCTGAGCTTTGCGTTCTTCATCTCATGCAAAACTAATGTTCAGAGTTGATATCATATGCATATATACTTATCAAAACCCTTACGATATCGACCATGTTTCAATTCAAAATCGTTAACTATCGTAATATTACCATATTTTTCACACCAACATCGCGAACACATTTCCTTAAATTGTTCATAGGTAAGATCCGGTGAGACATGTTCATCAAATGCATGCCGTAAATTCTTGTCATCCTGTTTGAAAAGAACTATAACGTTACAGTTATCACGTATGAGCTGTTTCGATATTTTAGAATACGTTTGACATAGGTACATAACATCTACGGATTTATGTCTACCCATTGAAAAATATTCCCTACATTTTTGCTGTTTCTCGCACGCAATGTCGTCGAAAATAAATATAGAGTTATTAGGTGCTTCTAGTGGATCGATAATTTCTTCGTTGCCTTTATATGGGAGATATTTAACGCATTTTGTCTTCGATAAAACGTTTTTTAGTAAAGCATATTTGGGCTGTAGCAATGTTTTAGAGTAGACAAAGACATTTTGAAAACGTGCATCGTTACGATTGAACTCAATGCTGCGTTTGTTTTTCCACATCCACTAGGTCCACAAAATATGGCTCTGAATGAATTCGGTAATAATTTTCCATTTGCTCGGAAGGTTGTTATCTTCAGCAAAATCCAAATTTTCGATAGGCAGTGCAGTTGCTTGCTGCTGAATACG